TACTGAGCTTCAAACACCTTACACAAGAACCTTTACTCAACATGTAGACCAAGTTTGGTATAGAACGTACTTTTAAAATAAATTTTATCACACACACCCAAACGACATCCCTGAAAGTTCCGACGGCAACCTTGCGACCAAACATTTTTTTCTCTCCGAAATATCCTACCGTTTCACTGCTTTCAATACAGTTAATCAGCACAATATTTTTCGAATGCATTTGAGATGGTCGCCAAAACGGCTAGGCGTTTAGCATGAAATCACCCTAACAGTGTGTCATGAACACAGAAAAAGGTCTTATGCTTATTAAGCCCTTTATTTACCAAAAAATATACTGAAAGTGCCTCCTCTGAGGCACTGTATAGTGCCGCTTTTTTCACAGTTTTAAGGGAACTAACTGCATGTGCTATTGTTGTTTACATGTGCAGAAGTAGCATTAATATGTAGTAGAACTTGCTGTTGGGATAGTTGGTGCATGTTTGCATTAAATATTAGTCAGTTTTGCGCCAAAACGACGACCACACAAACGAAGAAAACACACAAACGGAATGGGCACTCATTTGCAATTGTTGATTTCTTGAGGAAATAGGCTGATATAAACCCACTTTTTGTCAACGCTTGTGCAACCTACTCGGGCCGTCCCTTACCTAATCACGCTATAAAACACATGATCGCTAGATACCGTGCTTCCAGCTCATACATGATGAGTGAAGTTTTGCTAACGCAATTGATACCCCTTTTCTTTTGTGAAAGCCCATCAAAATGGCTCTTGGTGTGAATCCACATGAAGTGACATGTGCTCTTGAACGGGCACCGTAGTTATTCTTTGCCGTAATGGCGTGCTCCCTCGCTAGATCATTGACGCAGCGCCTCGTCGTCTGGCTAACATGTCTCTTTCTGCACGATAAAGGTATTTTGTAAACCACTTCAGTAGCAGACTTCTTGAATGGCCACGCATGCTTCTTTTTACAGCCTTTCAGCTGCTCAGCATGATTTTCAGCGATGCACCGGCGCAATTTTGCTAGTTTGTTAGGAGCACGAACACGATCAGTACTTCATGCCGGCTCGCCACCTTTTTAAGGTTGTACGTATGAATATATAGTATATTATGAATATAAGGTACAAACAGCTGCTAGTGAGCACCCGTCCTGTTCATGTGTTTTCTTTGTGTGGTCGTGGTTTTGACGTGAAATTGACTATTCAATTCAAGCATTCATGTCTATTCACAGCACATGTTTAATGTCTGTAGCAAAATATTACATGATATTTTCGTATTCATATTTGCATGTTCAAGAGAACAGCAGCCGTGTGTCAATTGGATACAATTTCCTAATTTTGCACAAAACCAATATGAAATGCCCAACCAGCCTCAATTATTTCTCAGTATTGTTAATTTTATCAAGAAACATAAAATCCATTATTCAACTTAAGTTTGCGCATCACCGTCCAATTGATTGATGTATGCAGTTTAATGTCCTAAAGCCACCATTTGATTATGAGACGCTTTAGAGGAGGGCTCCAGATATTTCGGCCGCGTGGGGTTCTTGTGAACCCAAATCTAAGGAAATGGGCCTACAGCATTTTCGCCTGCATGAAAAAGTGCAGCTGAGTACTTTGGCGACTAAACCATCGAGGCGGGGTCATCATCATCCAATCTAATACAGATGTGCCAACCGTAATTATAACTTTTAATTGACTATTCTAACCTCACAGCAAAAGAAAAGAGTAGAACGGTTTAAAAGAAAGTTCTACCCCCACCCCTTTCTATGACGTCCATAACGCTTTTTGTGTCGCTTTCGCCAGAATACGCTTTCGCTCTGCGGAAAAGTGCTTTTTGATTTACAGGACACAAAATATTTTTGTCCCTATATTACTCTGCCATGCAGATGCCATTCAATAACGGCTACTAGTATAAGTGCTGGCCGTCTTTCAGAGTGATTTATGAGGTTTTCGCAGCCTTAAGCGACGATAAAGAAAATCGTATGCCACTTTTTTTCTTTTCGCCACCCCCTTGAGCTCCTCCTTTACGAATATCTGGAATTTCTGGGTCGCCTGTCAAACAGTTAGACAAGCTCACCAAATGCTACTGCGAGTTTTACACCCGTATTTTAGAACGTCCCTTCACTAAATGCTTCACCTTGACTTGAGAAAATTGATTCCAGCACAGTCTCTAGGCAGAGCAAGTCACTCAATATCAGGGATAATCTGCTGCGATTCTCAAGAAACGCAGCCTCATTTTTAGACAAGCGGTGGCGCTGTGCTCAGCTAGTACAAGTGAAGGACGAGATTTGAGTCGAGGAGCATTCGTATATAGGGAGGATAGCATTGTTTGCACTGTGGGACAGTTCAAGAGTGCTTTTGTTGAAATAGCTGCACTCTCGTGTATTTTGAATGAATTAGCGTATGTCAAATAATTTCTACATATACTTTTTTTTGTGTGTGATTCAGTATAATTTGTTGCACTACTGTAAATTTGGAGCCCCGCCGCGGTGGTCTAGGGGCTATGGTACTTGGCTGCTGACCCCCAGGTCGTGGGATCGGATCATGGCTGTGGTGTCTGCACTTCCGATGGAGGCAGAAACGCTGTAGGCCCGTGTGCTCAGATTTGGGTGCACGTTAAAGAACCCCAGGTGTTTAAAATTTCCGGAGCCCTCCACTACGACGTTTCTGATAACCATATGGTGGTTTGGGGACGTTAAACTGCACATATCAATCAATGCTGTAAATTTGAAATTTCAAGCTCAAAAATACTGTGTTTGTTTTTCCTGAAACCTGCTCCAAATTTAGATTTTCTCCCTAGAAAAGCAAGATATGATGCTCCAAAATATTGCTCCAGATGATAGCTTGGCTGCTCCACCTCTGCTAGCTGTAAGTGGTTACTCTTTCACCCTGCTTTTGTGTGCCCATTTTATGTTCTTTGATGTTGCATTGTTTCAGGGGGACATATTATGTGATGCGCTTGATATTTTACATCTTTAAATCAATTATTCTGTGTGGTTAGTATCTAGTGACACTGTTAAGCTATTCTAATTTTGCCTATTGTTTTCACTCCTGTATTATTATTTCCCCAGTATTCTGAATGTCTGAACACACAAGGGTTATTGTGAAATGAAAATGCCATTTTAAGACTGTTTTGTCATTACATTCATTAGAATACCACTAGCTTTGCATAATATGCATAAGGCATGCCACAACACATGCAAACTGTGGCGTACCAATGTGGCAATTGTAGTGTGCATTGATATATTATTTCAGTATATTAGAGAAATAAGGCATGCTGCATTACACTACTCTTCCTGCTGTTTGTATGCTTCACTGCACTGTGCTTTTGTGCTGCATTGAAGCGTGTTAAAATTAGTTCTTCATTTTTAAGTGCAAATAAAGGCTCTTTTGTTGTACTTTGATATGCATGCATTGGTCGTTAGAGCTCCATGCCGTACCATTGACGTCTGATTTCCGGTCTTCTTTTGTAGCAAATGGCATTCTGCTTTGCACAATTGAAAAAGGCTTTTGATTAAGGTACAATTTGTCTCTGAATCCTGTATGTTCTCTGTGCCTAATAAAATAAAGCTTGATTTCGTTTTGCACAATGGCATGACTTTGTGAACGTTGTGTTATGTGTGGCAGCTCATTTTGAGTGATGCCTTTGCATTAAGCTAGGATTACGTGTTATATGCCGTGCTTCATATATGCACCATAAAAGCTGTGCTAAGGCCAGGATTACCACACTGTGGCAGGAGCCACTACAATCGGACATCTGCACATGAAAGGTCTAGCTAAAGGGTAAGCTTTCACGTGCTTCCACAGGGGCTTACTGGAAAGGGGTAACTTTCGAATTATGGTATTTTTTGCATGGGTGTTGGGGCATTATTCAGCATGAACACCCCCACACCCTTTTTGCTGTTTGAGCAATTACACCCCTACACTACTTTTGTTTTTTAAGGGTGTTAGGGTGTCATAGCGATATTACACCCTTACGCCCTTAAGATTACTTGGGTACATTCGCTTTTACACCCTCACTCCCTAAAGGCCACTTGGGTGTACATTTGTCTTTACACCCGAAGAAATGTTTGTGCCATAGGGTGTAAATTCGGAAATCCGCCCCACGATATAGGTGTAGCCCTGCTTGATACACCCATTTCGTGGGGTGTTGGGGTGTGAGTTATAGACACTATAAAACACCTATATGGGTGTAATTTGGTTTACAGTGTAGATTGGTATTCATGTTAAAAAGGCAGGCCATGCAAACATGGACTTAAGAGAGTTGTCAAGACACCGCAAACACCAACTGTAAAAGTTGACATTAAGCTAGGAACGATGCAAGGCAAGTGGAGATATTGATCGAGACGTCATGCCTGTTTATGTATGTGAGAGGTAACTGCTCAGCATTTCATTTCTCCGCCAGTTATTCAATAGTTGGTTGGCTCACACAAGCACTATTACATGTTGCTATGCCAAGGCTCAACCATTATATGCATTTCTTCAATTCTGTGCTTGTACGAAACTGCGTGATTCGAATTTTGGCAAGTATTTACGTCGTAATATATAGATACGTTTATTGGTGGGCGTATGGTTAACTGTTTTATATGTTCCGTTAGTCTGCCTTGTCATTGTTAGTTGGCATTTGAAGTGTCCTGACTCACCTGCGGCTATGTTTGCAAGCCCTGTCTTTTCAACATGTATGCATATAATGTGTAAGGAAAATAGGTTATTGAGTAGGTATTAAGAAGTGGAATTTATGTCTAGTGTAAAATGTTAGTTCTGTTTTCTTCTGTTAAACTTTTTGCTTAACAATGACGAGGCATTATTTTAGAGCCTGCTAATGCAGTATGAGATATACGTAAATAAAGCAGCAGCTGTTAGCATGCCTTTGAGACTGCTACCTCATGAGGCCGCGAAAGTCAAGTTGTGTTATGTGGGGCACGCTAGAAAAAGTGAATTGTTTCTAATGTGTTTTTTTTTTGTTTTCTCGGCGGACATTCTACAAAACTGGCCCAAAGGGGGACGGAAGGCAGTACAGGTGAACACACAGAAGCCATCGGGCTGCTTCAGAAACTGTGACTGAGCATTAACCTGTAAGTATTTGCGAGTTTATGGTCTTGTCATGTTAGTGTGTGAAGTGGTTTCTTGACCATTTGCAATATTTTCCAAAACTGGTGCTTTGATGCCTTAATGTGAAAAGGAGTTGTTCCAGCACTATTTTAGGGTACAAACTTTCTAATACAGCAGAGGCCTTTGAAACCATGTGCACAGAAATTGAGTTATAGGAGAAAAATAACCTACACATGACTGTGGCTTCATGCTTTTACTAAAGCCTTTGTTTCTTTGTCAGCAAAATTTCATGGCTATGGTATCGAAATAATTTTTGTTTCAATTTATGCTAAGGTTGGTCATGAGAGAACATGGCAAAATGGTACTCGCCCAAGACCCACAGTTCGCGGGATTCAGTCCCGGCTGCAGCAGCTGCAAAAATGTTGTAGGTGGTCAAAGTTTTTGAAGCCCTCCACTACGGCATCTTTTATAATCATAAGGTAGTTTTTGGGCGTTAAACCCAGCATATCAGTCAAATCAAACATAGCAAAATGCAGTGTTTTTGTATACTTTTATAGGAGTGATTTTTTACATATAATTACAGAGTTTGTTTAAAGGGGTACTTACCAAGAGTTAAAAATACTTCTGAATGTAAAAAAGATGCCTCCACACATTTTAACCATGGGTTGTTTGGCTGATAAGACAGTTATTAAAGAATAAACGTAAAAGGTGAGCATCAATTGAGAAGAAAGGCTTACTGTCCATATCTCAAAATTCTATCAAACACTACATGACAGTTCTCTTATTATATCAGAAGTTAAGATGATGACAGGGGGGGGGGGGGGGCTTGAATGAGGGTCAAATCAATAAATAAAGTTTTTCTGGAGCCAATCAAGATTTTTTAAATTAGATCGTTTTAAATGTTTGTACGAAACTGTTTGTCTAAGTCGTGGCAGTAACCTTGATACGGTTTTCTGCTCTGGTAAATAGATGTCCTCTTGTCGAATCACTCATTTTTAGCATTAGGACATAGTGTTATAAAACTGTTGAGCTACAGACCCCTGCTAAATGCCTTGTCCTATGCAGCTTATGTTTGGCACCCAGTATCATTACAATAGAAGCATTTGTTAAAGTTGAGAATTTGTAATGAATGTGTTGAGATGTATACCTGATGAAAAAAATTATTGAACAAATGTTAGAGCTTGTTCTTTGACAACGGAACTTTTCTTTTCCGAGGTAGAAAGCTGAATCAAGGTTGCTGCCACAACTTAGACAAATTGTCTTATTCAAACATTCGCTCTAACAACATATTTAATTTAGCAATCACACTCATTCAAGCCCACATCTTCAAGTTAGCTCCTGCCGTAATGAAATATACAACTGTCATGTAGTGTTTATTGGATTTTAAAAACTATATATTCAAGCCTTGCTTCCTAAGTTAGTCCTCACCATTTGTGTTGATGCGTTATTCATTGTCTTCATCAGACTAATACCTCCACCATGATGATATGAATAAGGCAACGTGTACCCATCCAGCACTCTGTAAGGCGCAGCGACATAGTGTTGAATGGGTTGAGGTCACGGAAACGACGACGAAGTCCTTAACCTCTCATCTCACAGCTTCTGTTTCTCGCTCCAAAGGTACCGTTACATTATGTTGCCTGCCGCACGTAGGCCTTTGCAGTGGTCTACAGTATTTTTTGTCTTGTGTAAGATTTCATAATATAATGCAAAATTCTTTTGTTTAACCCACACAACTCTCCATGGTGTTAGTAGTTACAGAATTTTTAACTGCCACACCATGGCACTAAATAAATGGAATTTGTTATGCTACTCTATGAAATCTTTTGCAGTTAGAATATAGTGCGTTCAACGTTGAGTTCTTGTCTAGTATAGCAATAGGCCCTCGTAGCATCCTGCTGCTTGTTCTGCATGTGATCTGTTCTTGCCCAGAAATACCGTCTGCTTGATGTGATTCATGAAATAGTGGTGTAACAGAGGTGATATACGTAGTAGACATCAAAGTGGTTTAAACACTGAACATTGGTGCTGCTACAATAGTTTTTTGTACTTCCTTTTCAGACATACAGAAAGGAGCCAAGCGGAGCTGTTTATGGGTCACGCACACCGTTATATAAGAGGGCTTTCAGCACTTTTGACAAATATGTTTCTGAATACATCTATTAATCTTATGTTAAAAGAAGCGTGTAGTAGTGCGTTTCATTGTTCATTTGGCACGCTGCAGCAGGTATGACTCACACATCTGCAACACAACGCAGCACAGTGCATACACACAAACTACCCCCACATACACTCGGGATTTGTGGCGTAACTGTAAATTGTTTACTCGCACCTTGCACAATAATTACTAACAAAATGACATGAAAACTTTGCCATCTATGCAGGTAGCGTTCTCAGCACACGCTGGCACTAGGTGTGCAAATTTCAAACAGTTCACTGGTCACATATTATCTTGTAAACATTTATAGATAGAAGGCTGGGGTTGTTGGTAGCTGATACACGGTAATGACTGAAGCGCGACTCCAGAAGTTTTCTGTTTTCTCACCTTTGTACACGAGGTGGCATAGTCAAATTGGTCAGGCTGCAGCCATGTCTTATCACTCTGCAGCGTTCAACAAGCTCAGAGTTAGAACATGTTGCATGGAAAAGTTAAGCAACATCCTTTTTGTGTTCTTTAGGTTTTGGTGACCATTTGTCACAAACGAGCACTCAAAAAAGGGCGCGCCACCGAATTCTCGCGACCAAGCGCTAGAGAGACGCCTCAAGGTCAACGATAAAGAAGAAAACAAGCATCCAAAGACTCTCTGGGCGCGCCATCTCTCTTCCCCTCGGAAGCGTAGTTCGCCGACTAACCTCCTCACATCGGCGGCCGAGCAAGCCCTGGAAGGTTCTGGAGGGAAAGGAGCGTGGTGTTGCGGAGTTGCCTCATGTGTCGCAGACGGCCCTCGAAACGACTCGCGCTTTCCCCAGCCTTCGCTGCGCATCGCACCGACGGAAACGATGAGAATTTTCTGGAAACTAGCGCGAAGGGTATTTAACCGAGCAGCAGAGATGGAAGATGAGGAGAACAAGAAATTTTGCGCCAGAGTGCGTAGGGTGTTCCACCTTGTCGGCAAAGCCTTTTGTCCTCGGTGACAGAGGTGTGAAGAAATTTCGCGCCCGTGTGCGTAGGCAGAAGGTGAAAGTTTTGCGCAAGTGTGCGTAGGGTCTTTCCGCCGTGTGGGTGAAGCCTTTTGTCCTCAGTGACAAAGGAGGAGAAGAAGAGGATTTCCACCTGAGGGGTGAAGACTCGTGCTACAGGCAGGAGTGTTTGTCTACCACCAGCGAGCGAAGACACGTGGCAACAGCTGCGCGTGGGAAGGCGACGTGTTACCGTCGAAGAAGTTTGGTGCTTGGAGAGCGGCCAATTGAAGTGACGAGGTTTCTTGGAAGAGAAACTTCGGGGGCAGCGGAACGACAACAGCGCTGAACTTTGAGTGAGTGATTCTCAGAAGAGTATCATTCGGACTTTTGTTCCAAGGACTTTGGACTGAACAAGTTTTCTAACTCTTTAGTCTTTAGGTGTCTTGTTTGTTTGATGCATGCGACTGCGTTGGGCGTATTGTTGTTTGTGTCCGTTGTTTCCAGTGTAGCTGATTGCACTGTGTAGTACGTTGTTTGATTGGTGACATATCGTATTCAACTATTGTCGAGTGTGCATATTTGTGTATCGTTTTGATCTGCCATAATTGAGAATAGAATTTTGTTCTGTTTATCACCTCTCGGCTCTGACTTGTTCTTTCGGCCACAGCCAGCGTCCGCTGGCGCACCAAATAGGACCACTTCTAAATTGTCCACGCTTTAGCGGTGCAGTTCGGGGGGCCGATATTTAGGCCCTTGGAATCAGCCAGGCGATCGCTGCCTAATTAACGGGGCCTGTGACACCATTTCTCACTTTTTTGCCCACAGAATTTGGGTCGCAATTTTCGCTTTATACTTTACCGATGACCTCACTCAAATCTTAATTGCTTTTCGGTATACCTTGAGATATACGTTCAACGACTGCACACTTGCGCATGATCGGAGGAAGATCTTCTACAAAGCACACTGGGGTATTGCAGCGCTAATCCAATTAGCAAAATGGGCAGAAAGAGTTCAGAGGTTTAAGGACGACAAAAGGGGGATGCTGCTATTGCCACCAGTGCAGCTTGTTCCAAGACTCAGTTTAACTGCTGGACAATAAGGCGTAGCCTTCTTTATAAAGAGTGCTTGAAAGTGGCTTGGAGACAGACCGGAGGGGGAGGACTTGGAATATTGGTTTATTTCTTCTGAATCATTAACTTCCAAGAACAACATGTTTACGAGGATGTATATTGCTAAAGAACTGGTTAACCTTCACTGACTTGTTGCAAAAATATGCTGCAACTGTCACCTGCTTAGGTGGGAACACTTCTACGCAACTTCATTATTTGGAAATTGAAGTAAACTTTTTACTCATTATTTCACACGTAGTTTGGAACATGTTTGCATGTACAGATTGGCTCAACAAAAAGAAATCTGCAAAATGGGTAAAGGGAGGGTGTAATGTGAACTTACCACAGGTAAAAATTGGCCTTTTTGGTCTAACACTTTCATAAAGTTAAGCATAGCACTTAATTACAAGGATGGGACAGGCTTGTGTATGTTTGGCCTGCCCCATCTTCGTCATTTCGGTGCCGTGATCAGCTCTATAAACATGTCATGTGCTCTTTGCGCATTTGTTTGCTGCACACTCCATTCTTGTGTTCTTTGTGTAGAGTTTTGTTCAACTGGAGTCCTCTTACATTTGGGGTTGTGTGCATAACAAACAAGTACTTTAGGGAGTTAGCCATAAATGACTGCACTCGATCCACGAAATCATGCTACCTGTGCAAAACATATATTACGTTGTAATCATTTAATAACCCTGTGTTCACTTGCAGATGAAGGTGCGCCCAGAAACTAAATTAACAGCGTGTCCAGCCAACAAAATTCTCCCTCAAACAGCACAAATAACTCACATTCACACGCACGCAGAACATAAGTGAAATCCTCCATTGCTATATTTTGCAAGCAGGCTGCACGACACAGCTGTGGTATGGCATACTGTTGTGCGCAGCAATACAGCAGACTGTTATGTTGAACAATACAAACATTTTTTATTAGTTGCCATAACGTATAGAATATTTGTCCGAAGGAAATTGTCGTATTTTGACCACTGAATAATATTTGTCGTCTTATTAGAGTAACGGGTGCTGTGGTAACTGTGCTGAAGGGTGACTTCCGTGACGAGGCTACATCTTGAGGAGATAGTTGTATTCATGCTCTCGGAATCGCTCGGCCCCGCTATACCTTCAGCATTCTCCGTGAAGGAGGGTCCTCATTTTTTTACAGTGTGGAGAAGCAGTCTGAGAATTCCGTCAAAAACTTTATCAGCCACTCTTTTTGTGAACATGGCAAGTCGGGATTAACGTGAATGCGGCTGTCCAAGTCAGCATTAGCTTTTGCATCCTGTGAAGTCACATTCTATGTGTCGACATCGGAAAAGTCGGCGATTTCACTGAGAAAAGCAACAGTGGTGCCTCTAGGGACGTACTGAAACTCATTGCTGAAGTTGGTCAGCAGAACTCAAGAGCGTTTATTCTCTAACCGAACGAGGCTTTGGGCTATGCAGATGTTTTCCTTTGAGCAACAGCGGGATATTTGCCCCTGCCATACCTTCATATTCATTGAATTCATAGAAAACGTCGCAGGTTACCAAGATCAACACGCTACTTTTCGCTGGTAACGTGACGTCATCGTCGACAATTCTCAAAGCATTTGCGTAACTGTCGTGAGCGTTGCGCGCTAAAGCGTGTGCCGTATAAAACGTCACCTGCGACTCTTGAAAATTAATCACGGCTCCCTTTATCATGCAAAAAGTCCAGTCCGAGAATCAGGTCCCTCGAGCAACTCGGCAATATTACAAATCACCGAGATACGTAAATCCGTGAACACTGACTGGCGCTGTACATCGTCCCACTGAAGTGAGAAGATGGCCTCCTGCCGTACGTATCTGGGACCCAGCCCGCTGGGTAGAAACCTTCAGCCTGCAGGCAAGACTCATGCTGGTAACGGAAGTGTCTGCTACAATGTCGATTAGCGTTATTACTTCTTCGTAGAAGCGTACGCATTTGGGCTGGTTGGTTCATGTTCACAGAAGTTAAAAAACAGCGCTAAAAAGACGAGACAGGAAAAGAAAGGACAACAAGACAGGGCGCTGACTAGCAACCAAATATGTTTATTTCTTCAGTCAGCATACATATATACCACCGCACTATCGCAAAAAACAGCCTACGCAGCGGCATGTGAGCCTGCGCAGAGGCATTCCAAAAATTAGTTTGACAGAAAATTGATTTCCTTCGGAAGGAGGGAAATGGAAGGGAGGCTAACACATGCCTCACCACTGTTATGAATGTGAAAAGCTTCCGAAATGAGACGTGCACGTTCATCGTGGTAGTATGATAAGAAAATGGTATCTTTAAAAGATGGGTGGCAACCGCAGTTGTTACAGTGAAGGGAAAGCTGACTATCTGTAGCGCGATTATGAACTTTGTTTGAATGCTCGCGCAAGCGGTCATTAGCACAACGGCCCGTTTGCCCTATATAACACCGACCACAGGAAAGAGGAATCTTGTAGACAACGCCATGACGACATTTCACAAACTTGTGCCTGTGCTTCTTAGTACATCCTTTTTTGTACGGTGCCTCACGATTAACATGCTGGCATAAGCTGCCTAGCTTATTTTGGGCAGAAAATAGCAGCTTAATGCCTGCCCTGGCGACAACTTTTTTTAAATTGTGCGCTACCTTGTGCACATAGGGGATAACTGCTACGCTTTTTAGCCGGCTATTTTCAGACTGCACAGTGGCCAGGCGCTTGTCCTTACAGACTGCTACTAGGCTTTCAGCAATACTAGTCAAAAGCGTTGCAGGAAAACCTGCAAGCTTCAGGCGGTCAACTTGCGAAAAGAAACACTTTTCAACTTGGTGGTCACAGGACCTGTAGAGCGCCGCCTTCATGCAAGCTCTTGCAATGCCACGTTTAACAATTTTTGAGTGCGCCGAAGAAAAGGGAAGAAGGGCCTTTTTTGACCTGGGTGCGTAACCCC